GGTGGTTTGGGTGGGGGGGGGGGGGGAGAAGAGAAGCAGAAGAGGTTTGGGGTCCCTGAAAACTGGCATCAAAATGGAAGCCCTTGGGTTGCTAACATTTGACAAGTGCTGGATTAGATTTCCACATGCATGCAGTAAGCCAACAGAACACCGGAAGAAGCTGTGAGAGTTGGGTTTTGTGTCTGTTCAGTGGCTGGTCCACATCGTGGTTCCAGTGAATGGGTGTAGTTCACGCTTTAGCTCAGCTGACCTTCAGCTATAGTTTCAGCTCTGAGAGTCCAGGGTTCCAATCCTGTTGATGACACAGGTGCAGGGAGTTATACCTGCCTCTGTGAGAGGGGAATTCTCGGTCTCTGGAAATGCATGTGGAATCTCATTCGTGCAATGTGTTTGGTGTCGAATGCATCTGTGAAATGAGGCAAGGCTCTAAAATTACATGCCAACGTGAGTCAGCTCTGCAGTCACAAACCCTGGAGTGTTGAGAGACGGCGGAAGAGGTGAAAGTTTGAGTGACTCAGTACACCTCTTAAATATGGCACCTCTTGTCATTCTGCCACAAGGGCATGTTTCCACATATTCCTCTTTATGCCATAGAGGATGAATACTCCATCAGGCTGCAGCAGGCGAGTATACCTCTCTTCTCCAATGAGGCCTGCAGGAGCTACTGGGGGCAGGATATTAAAAATACCAACATTTGCGGTGGAGCAGCTGGCGCAACTGCTTGCTTGGTACGTACCTGGTGTGGGGAGGTATGAATACTTGCTTTCCACACTACTACTGATGGCAAAAATGTAGCTACATAACGGGCTCCTGAACACTAGGGTAATGCTACGAATATATCGTTGAAGGTCAGTGTTGGAAACAGAACCCTTGTAAATCAGCTAATCTAAATGTTTGTGAGCTGATTTAGAAACCCTTTGGGCTCTCTAATACCAAGTAACTCCTTCCTCTCCCCTCCCCCCCCCTTTTTTTTTATAGGGAGATTCTGGAGGGCCACTGATCTGCATGGTAAATGGATATTATAAGCTGATCGGCATTGTGAGCTGGGGCAGTGATAATTGCAATCCAAAATCACCAACGGTTTATACCAGAATTTCTACCTACAGGGACTGGATTTCTTCAGTCACTAATGGAAAAGTGTGATGGTTGAGTTGAACTCTTATTCCTGTCTAAATGGGGAAGAATGTGTGAAATATGCAGGGTAAAATACCCAATAAATATGGCAGCATCTGTCTCCCATCCTGATTTTTCTTTAAACATCAAGAGACTGTGCCAGTGAGCTAATGCAGCGGTTGTCTTCTAATGGCAAATCTAACACCCTTGCAACTCTATCATGAGAAACTCCATCTCCCAATAGGTGTTGCCCACATTACAGACACGTTCTTTGCTGGTCTAAATTAGTGCCATTCTTCTGAAGTCAATAGCACTTCATTTTTAATAGACAAACAAAGTGTGTGTGTGTTCTGATAAAATAAATATTTTAACCCAGCAATTCTCAGCTGCTGCTCATTTGACCACTCTCAGAACTCTGAGCAACTATTTCCAAAAGAACAGTACAGACCAGCTTGTCAGATTCACCACAGTACTTCACACACTACACTTAGATATTCTGATTGAATACCTTGTGCCTTCCAAATAAGGCACTGGCTTTAGTAGAAGGGGAGGTAGAGAAGCAACATTTTACTGGCTGTTACAGGTAAAGATGCCAAGATGTCAAGAAAAACATGGGCACCTTATATGGGGAGGAAAGGGACCCACACAGAGTGACTAAAAAAGAATGACCTTGGTAGAAAATCTGAAAGAAGAATCTAGCATCTCTAAAATACAAGCTTCCCCATCTCTTCACTGTGTGTAAAGTGAGGCTGACTAGTTGAAAGAAGTCACTTCAGCTAAATAGCCCCCAAACACTTCCTTTAGCTAACAGGCTTTTGATTCTGTATTGAGAAGTCCCTTTCTTGCTTTTTAAGTTTAGACTAAGTTTAATAGATTCCTGATTACCTGTTCTTGTATCAAGTGCTTACCTTCAGAATGTTTTATGCCTTTTTTCCCCTCTGATAGTGCATCTCCATTAGTGCACAGACAGTATGAAATGCTCAGTCAGATGCTACCAGCTATGCCACGTGTAATTCTACCACTAAAATAAGAGTTAAAAACCACTGCAGCTGAAAGGAGAATGTGAGTAAAGGGGAACTAGGTTTTCATCTGACCAGTGTCTGGACTGCCAATGTCGAACATTGACAAAATTGAGTCAAACCTCTCAAAATTGTGATGGGCTTAAAATACTTGAAGCACTTCATTTGCCTTGTGGTTTTTAGCCCTCCTTGTTGAGGAACATTTTTCTCCAAGCTTTTCTCCCTAACAAAAGCTGAGATTCACTCACATGGCTTTGCAGTGTTACGAACACAGCAAAACGAAGATTGTCTCTAAAATTGTGAATAGACCGTGTGTGTTCAGATGGTGGTAGAAGTCTCATGTCTGTGGAGGTGACTGCCATTTGGGGGACAACATGTTATGGGAGAAAAATGTCCCATTCACTATCTTCTGGAGACTTGACTTTTTGGTTTGGTTTCTTATTTTCCCTTCAACTACAATAAACGTAATTTAAACCAAGTTACATGGCTGCTTTGTGTATATCAAACACTAAACTCCAGACTCTTCAGGAATAGATTGGCTTCAGTATCAATAAGCTATCACCTGTTTGCAGGCACCATAAAGAACAGTACCTTACACTCCTGTTTGTACAACATTTTTCAGATGCAAGTTGTTAATCACTTCCACTGGAAGTGAAGGGAGTTGATTTTCTTTCACTTAGGGTACATGTAGACTCACGGCTTTTTCAAAAGATACTTTCGAAAAAGCCTCTTTTGAAAGAGCATCTAGATTGAAAGTGGATCGCTTTTTCAAAAGAGCATCCGGACTACCTGGATGCTCTATCGAAAAAAGGGCACCTGGAAGCACTTCTGCCAGGGCATGAGTGCAGCCTTTACTTCCGGGTCCTGCAGCATGCTGTTTAGAGACGTGTGCTTTGAGGTCCTCTTCCCCTCCCCGCCCCCCACAGCTGTTCCTCTGTTCCTGCAGCTGGCTTGCCTACCTCCTAGAGGGACAGCAAAGCTTCTGCAGTGCTTGCTTTGAGTGCCCTGCTTTCTGGGATACCACAGCATTTTTTTTTCCTGGTTGATTTTTGTGCTCTGTGTTGGGGGGGGTGTGTGTGTGTGTGTCTGCCATTGGGCAGGCAGTGGCCACACACTGTAGTGCTTCAATTTCTGCTGCAACTCCATGAGACCTTCATGGTGTTCATGCTAGATCTGGATTCTGAACCCAGTCTTCAGCCCCTCGTTTGGGCTACAGCAACACTGTTCTTGCCACTGAACTTCTTCCACGAGAGGCAATTTTGGAGGCTGGTGACAAGTTCAGGCTGGTGGGACCGGCTCATCACGAAGTGGTGGGACGACCAGGCTTGGCTCCGAAACTTCAGGATGCATAAGGCCACCTGCCTGGAGCTCAGGCATGCATGCACAAGCGACAACAATAGCTCCTGCAGACAGTGCTGCCACGGACAGGCGGTGGGTGTGTGGGTGGGGGCCCTGGGAGACCCAACGACAGGACCCCACCTGTACCCTGCCATCCCCCTGGAGAAGAGGGTGGCTATTGCCCTCTGGATGCTGGCCACCCCTGACATCAACCATTTGGTAGGACACCAATTTGGTGTGGAAAGATCTACTGTTGGTGCTGTGTTGATAGAGGTAAATCCCTCTGGGGGTACAGTCCATGCAGGGTAGGGGGAGTGTAAATCCCTCTGGGGGTACAGTCCATGCAGGGTAGGGGGAGAGTAACAGGAAAGGGTGGGGGGCAATGTTCCCTCACCCTGCCCTACTGCGGGGCGCAGCCACTGGGGT